ATGAACAAACGAGATGACACCTCCCGCCTTCCAGCCATTTGGAAACCCGCCCTCATGAACAGACGAGTACCTAACATGAAGAAGGACACCAGACCCACACCCATGAGAGCCACACAAGATGCCACCACCACACTTCCATATAGAAAACAGACTCCCACCCATTCAGAAAATGAGACACGACCATGGACCAGAAGCTGCACTGCAGCTGCATCACTACCCACTTCAAACCCCTCTGAGCCATACATGAAGCAAACCGACACCCACTATGAAGATGCAGCAGGACCACGAACTAGAAGCCAAACAGCAAGATCACAACTCACCAGCTCAAATCCCCCAGCAACTAAGACTAACCTGAGCACAACCAAGCCCCCACCTGAACAGAACACGCCTCCAACCAATCAGAACACGGCTAACCCCCCAACCAATCAGAACACAGCCAAACCCCCTACCAATGAGAACACACCCCCACCCAATCAGAACACAGCCAAGCCCCCACCCAATCAAGTCCCACCCCCACTGGCAGTTAAAAGGAGGAAGCAGCTGCAATCTCACATTACTCTGAGAAGCACAGAGCTGGAGACAGAAGCCTGAAGATGATGAATGAGACTTCATCGAAACGTTGCCTAGATAATCTTACGCGGGAGAAAACCCGAACAACCAAAGATCCACATATATATATATATATATATATATACACACACACACACACACACATACATACACACACACATACATACATACTTAAGAAAACATATATATGTTTATATATATATTTAATCATTAAATAAACATAAGCATCTAGAATGACTATTTAAGAAGTGAATTATAGGATCTTTGAATTTTTTTAGAACTGATTTAGCATTTTTAGCCACAAAATCCAGTTCACTGACAGAAATATACCAGCAAAACAACTTACGTAGTTCTTCTGCTATTGAAAATGTATGTAATCTGCACTCAATATTTATTATAATACTGCTTTTATAAGCCTGAAGAAGTTTGCCTCAACAAGACATATAGCTTTTGGAAACTACAGGAACTTGCTGGGGGCAGGATGAGGGCTCAAAGAACAAAACAATAGTACCAGATAGAACAGTAAACATTACCTATATTACATTTAAGCTACCAATTTCTTGAATGATATTTTCATTGAATACATGGACACCCTTACATATGCAGAGATGTTTAATAAAATAGTTTTTACAAATACTGGAAAATGATCAACAGAAAATACATTTTCCAATTTTAGAAACTAGTTTCTGCTACTGCAATTTTCCACCTAAGACTGAAAGTTCTTAGGAAAAGAATAAGTGGATTTAAAAAATGGGGAAAATGCTCACGTGGTAAACTACTCAAGAGTCCAGATGTTCAACATTCTTGACATCAGAATGGAAAATTTTACTATTAGTCTAGAGAAATTTAATATCACCATTTTTGTCATATCCTTCATAGCTTCATTATTAGAACAAGTCTGTGGAAACTATAAAATAGACCTAAACGATAAAAAATATGGTCGTTTTGTTCCATCACTTTTATGTATTACAATCATGTCTGATTTTAAATCAATACAATGACAAGTGGTTATCTCCCTTATTTGTTAATTACCTAATCAGATTTTTGAACCATGCCAGGCTAATGCTTCAATGTTACTGTAACTTGTGGTGATGAACTCAAACAACATACCGCTAAGCCCAGCAGATTTTAAAAGAATTAACAGATCAAAACATATTAACTTGTAAATTTGTTATTTTCATATAGATTAACTAAAATTCAATTAATAATATCTATTTCAGAAAGTTTTAAGATGACTCCTATTTCCAGGATGCTGTACAATCTAAATATGAAACATTTGGAAAGAAACCAGAAGATTCTGTTGTCAATTGACCCATACTGCTTTTGTCTAAAGGCTATAATTTTATTTTCTAAAATTCACAAATGTTTTAAAAATGTTGAACTCTACTGTTAAGTTGTTTTAATTTCAAAATAAGCACCCATTAAGGAAGAAGGTGATAGCAAGCCATCTCTGTATTGTTCCTAAGCAGAACAATAAGGAAACTATAGAAGAATCCAACAAATTTTGAATTCAAAGTACTTCAAATTTGAAATGCCCCAATTTGAATGTAAAAACAGCTTCTCTGAGCACTGATTTTATCATTCTGAAAAAGGTTTAAGCTCCAAATAGTTCAAAATTCAAATACATCGTACATGTTTAATGGATGTGTTCATGAAACGATCCAAAAATGTTGTTTCAGATTTTTTTTTAACAATTTCTAAAAATACAGGGTTTAAATTTTTTTTTTACTTGAGTTCTATTGCAGTATGACTTAGGCTTATATAGTGCTATAACCAGCCAATTTTCCTTAAAATTTTTTAGTTAAATTCTTTGATCTCACTGGTAGAAAAAAGTCACACTAAACTTGTTTCGCTTACAAGAATTGGTTTCTTACACATAAAATCTAGAGCAATACAGAGATCCACGTATGGGGGATTATTTCTATAGCAGCGTGATGTACATTTGAATGTATGTCGGTACAGATGTGAATCCTTACCCACATTTATGTTTATCTTGAGATATTGAATATACAGAAAGTTACACAGAGCTTAATAACTAGCAAGTTAACACTTACTAAACTAATTAATAACAACTAATTACGTACAGAAAACCAGCAACCCTACCTGCATCTCCACTAGATCCAGTTGATAAAGCTGGCATCGTTAAGAACTTCAGCTAGAAGGTAGTAACTTCCTTTCAATTGTTGGCAAACACCTTCTTCAATAAGGTTTAGGCAATTTTGAAGCGGCCTGAAAAGAATACAAATATGGATAAATAATATTACTAAAAACTGACTAAAGTGAATAAATATGGTCAATTTGAAATACATTTCTTTAAACCATTAGATGATGTCAATAGGACCCTAAAACAGAGTATGCATTATTCTTACAATGTTTCATTTATTCATATGTATAAATGGATGTGGTGTGTTTAGGGACATGCAAGGAAATCTTGATTTAATAAGATGATATCCCAATGTTACCATAAACAACCACATGTTATGATCTGTACATTTTCAAAATCAAGCTTGTTTTTTTGGCAAGTCATTGAAGAAAAAGTCCCCTGAATTCAGATACTATAAGTTTTTCTACTTTTTAAAAGAGCTCAGGAAAAAAAATGGTATAATCACCTTCTTCCATTCTCAGTTATGTGGGAGATTATACATAACATGGACATTGAAAAGCACCAAGGAACATATTGGTGGGCCAAGTTAGAAGTAATTACTACATCTACTACTATCAGACTAAAATATTAATATACTTCCAAAATGTAGTTTATACTGATTGAAATCTTCTAAGTAGAATAATCACAGAGTTTAGAATGAAGCCAAAAAGTATGAACTTTTTTTGGCATGTCAATAAAAGCTAAGAATATATATCCCCAGGCTAACTCTAGCATTATATGTTCTCAGCTGGGAGATTCTAGCCACATTCATATTGTATTACTTAAATTATTAGGATTAATGTGTTATGAATGATGCACCTTACTTATTGTATACTGTTTCCAAGCAAGTGCAAATATGTAATTTGGAGTTTTCCTAAATAATTAGTTTCAGCATCTGAATACTCTTTTCTAAGAGCCTCTAAAATAGTTAAGGCTTATTTCATATGCAACCTTGCAACTGTTTATAAAACAGAAGTTAAAACATTTTCAATTTGAGACTTTTTAAAAATAGAAATACAGAACATTCAAGAGGCAGATGTCCCGTGTTATGGATTATTAAGTATGTTTTCTTATGTGTACTTAATTCTTCACTGAATTATGGCTGTCATGCATGTTTGCTTGTGTATGTATAATTCTACACTGAATTATAGCTGTTACGCACAACTCCATTTATGCAACCTTGTATAAATATCTCTACAGATTAAGTTTTTAAAAGTTACCTGAAATCAGGCCAAGGACAGAGCGTACAAGCATTGCAAAGCATCAATTCACTTTTCCTGGTATAAATGTAACATGCACATAGCGAAGCCAAAAAAACAGAATTTAAAACTTGGACCTAAAGTTATAGTTATTAAGGAATCTAAATGCTAATTGAATCAAATCAACTGTTCATTATTTCTCACTGGACTGTTCATTAGTTTGTTAGCTGTCATTGGGTGTCCCCCCCCCCCCCCCCAAAGTTAATAAAATTTATTTACAAATGAAACTCCTATGAATTTAGAAAATAACTAGTATTAAGAACAGATACTATTTACTATTTTGATTCTGGTTAAATTATTTAATAGTTACTTTCCAAATCTATTATTTTCAAGAATTGTCTGGTATATAGCAGTGTATATGCAGTACAGCAAACGTAAATGACCTGCTGAAATCATTACCAGTAAAAAGCTTAAAATTATTTTTTTTCCCACAAAACACATAACAAGTTACTTTTCTTTTACTGAAGCTTCCTTTGGCGCAACTGGTTTAAAAATACTTCGTTATTTTGCAGCAGAATACAGCTTATGGTGTTGCTAACTACTGCACAGAACAGATTTGCTACAACACAAATACCAGCTGTTATAGTATGTTCTAAGAGGGATTATCAAATATTCTTCAACTGAAGTTCAATATGTTTTTCCATAAAAACACAGCCAAGAGCCAGGAACGTAAAAGGAATATCCACACCGCACCTGAGGCATTTACAGTGCCCAATAGGACTGTTAAAACCAGACATTTAAAGGACTTAAAAAAAAAAAACCAGAAAGAAATCTCATTATTCCAGTTATATCTTGTTTCTATATCACACAGTATCAGATTCTTCTGGCAGCTACCATGTGGAAACAGTAAAATATGTGTAGTTCAACAGATTGCTGAATTTCCACCCGGCCCTTAGTAACCTCTCAGGCTCCTGTAGTACCTATGCCATCTAGTGGTTGTGGGCTTGTGCAACATCTTCGTAGAAAACCATAGTTGGAAGGAGCTTTTTCGGGGCAATGACCTGCTGCTCAATGAAGGGATCCAAATCAAAGCATCCAGACGATTCAGATACTATCTGAATACATCCAAAGAAACAGTTGATTGCCATCTTCAATATATAACAGTCGATCAGTTCTAATTATAGCATACAGGTAGTTTTTGACTTACAATTTTTTGTGTGTGAATATTAGAAGTTAAAATGGGCCTGAAAAAAGTGACTTATTCCATTACACGGCACTAGGGATTCGAACCGCTGAAATGCCAGCCTTCTGATCAACAAGCTCAGCATCTTAGCCACTGAACCACTGTGTCCCTTTTGCATGTGTTAAAGAGGACTAGGGGAAAAAGCCTGAATCCTGGAAATTGTATAATGGGAATGCTCAGTAGCCCAAACTTCCTTATCCTGCTCCACAAATTGCTATTAATATTTTTACCTGCTTTAGACAGACAGCACTGATGCTTGTTTATGGAAGGAAATTCAAATTAATAACCAAATGCAATTTGAAGAGATGCCATCCTTCAATAAATGCAAGTTTGTAGTACATAGGACTGTTGCCATCCTAGGCTAAAAATAAAATTCAGTGTATTCCAACATTCATTTTCAAAATCCAAGTGCTAGAAAGCATTATTTCATAAAGTCAATTCAATTTTCAAGAATATTGAAAGTAGTTATTCTTAAGGTTTTCTTAACATGGTCACAGGTAATTAATGAATCGTTACATGTAGAAAATTAAAGCTATTCAAAGCTGGAAATTTTGAATAACTAGGGAAACAATGTTAACATAATTAATGTGGCCTTTAATTCAAATTCATTTTACTTTGAAAGTTCTTTCCATATTACGTACAGGGTTACAGAAAGAATATTAATTTTTACCAGTAGAGGGAGCTCATAGTACATAAATTGCACAATTTCCTATGTGTATTTCCCAATGTACTGAAGAAATATTTCTCAACCCTTTCTTATTAAATTTATTGCCTTACTACAATCCTTATTTCCAATGAACACTGTAAATAATTATATAAATAAGTTTTGGTCCAACGCATACACGCATACACATAATGGTTGCTACAGAAACTCATAACTGAGTGCTATACTGTTGTATTTGTAAATAATGACTAAACATTATGACTGTACTGCAGTTGAATTATAATTTTATTTTTTACTTCAGTACTAAAATACTGTCAGTTTGCAATTCAATTCAGAAATTCTTTTACAAATGATCAAACAATAAAGCAATTACACAATTATGGCAGCAAAAAAGAAGGGGTATATTCACTAGTAGAGGATGGGGGGAATTATTTTTTCTTGTTTGTATAGTGGGTTTTTCTTTTTGTAAGCTGTCGAGTCACTGACAGTGAGTGGACAGCCATACAATTAATCAGATTCAATAATCTCCTACAGCATAAGAAGATATAGAAAATTCTTTCTTACTATTTGTTTCATAGGGTCATTCATTCATTCAAATGATCTGTGAAACAATTGTTTGGTAAATGTTCATTATCAATAACATAATTGAATTACATATTCATTCCATGCTTAACTTCCCTTCAATTTTACTGGGTCCCTAGACTGGGTTGGCAATACAGTCCCCAAGGAGGTTGGTGCTTCCAAAATTTCAGTCTGTCTGGTATTTGTTGAGTCCAGGCCAAGCAAAGAGATTGTGGCATCTATGGCAACCATGGACTTCTTTCAAGTAACCGATGGCCCAGTGCATACCAGTAGCTGCACCTTGGATATGGTTTTAGTCTGAGAGCAGTTAAGAAGTCCTCTAGCAGTAGACAATATTGAGAAGAGTCCGTTGTTATGGGCAGATCATTTTCTGGTTGCCTTTTGTTTTACCGATGTCATCCCTCCCTGTAGGGAGAGCAGTGCTGTTTGAGCAGCCTGCCCCAAGTGACCTAAAGGGCTTAAAAGAGCTTGGAATTTTTCCTAGGTGATTTGGCCGAGGTTCTAGGCAATGCCTGCAATGGAACCAAGGACAAGGACTGTATCATCCCTATGCAAATTCTGCATGTGAACCAATCTTGGAGCACTCCCTGGTTTACTGAGGGATGAAATACCAGGACAGATGCTCGGAACACCATCTGAGGAAGTCTAAGGAAAGCAACGTGTCAATTGTTAGAGTTTGCAGCAAAAATTCGAATCCAGAAAGCACACACAGATGACCGATTCAGCAGGATTCATTAACTTCTTTATATAAATAATAAAACAATGTACAATTTAAAATACCAATGCAGTAAAGTTACAATCAAAACACAAGCAGCAGCTTCAGAGCTCAGAGATTAGTTTCAGTTTCAGAGAGCACAGAGCTAAGCCACGCCCAGATGCCTTCCAGTCTCAGCCCCCAATTTAGCACCCATTGGTTGATCTTGTTACCCATGTCTCTGTCAGTTCATGAATATTCTGACATCAATGTGTCTTCATACATATCTGCAGCTATGCTCAGGCTGATCTAATCCCAGGACCGCTGTGAGGATTAGCCAGATTAATAAAATTGTTCAAATCCATTCCATCTTAAACTGTGACTAGAAAACACAGACTTCAGTTTCCGGGTTGCTATAATGGTATGTGGGAATGACAAGTATTTCAGAAGGGATCCTCCACAGTTTCTTGGGATGTGCTGTAAAGTAGGGGGATGTATTTTCAGACTTGCAAAATTCTCTTAATGAAACCTTACAATAAAGTAAAATTAGCTTCTCTGTGATTTATGTCTAGTCTACCTTGCAGTCTGGTTAATGTCAGATGAGTTTAAGCCAGTGACTCCTAAGGAAGAACAGATAGTCTTCGACTTATGATCACAACTGAACACAAAAGTTCTGCTGCAAAGCAAATCATTTGTTAAGTGAA